TCCAGAAGCAAGATAGATAAGAGGTTGGAGTCATATTTACAACCAGCAAGACAGGTCTGTGCACAAATGTGAGTAGATGAAAACAGAACATCAAAGAGAAAGACAAACGAGAAAGACCTAGAGGCAGAGAGACAGGAGCACAAGAAGCCATGAGTTACTCACGTGCTGTGTCAGCGTTGGTTAGTTGCTTGAGGAAGTGTGCTTTAAAATGAGCAGAGCTCCAGTGGTCTGAGTGTCAGCTTGTCGCTGTCAGCCTTTATATCAAGCCCTCTCCTGATCCCTAAGCTTTTTACTGTCCTCCCTCACATCCGCTCCTCAACAAGCTCCTTCAAGCATAGTCCTGGAAACACAAATATTACTCAGGAACAGTTGGCTCATTTTTTTTATTAGGTTAGTATGCTCACCTAATCTTCACTGGTATGTATAAATTATAAGATGAATGTATACTGTGCAAAGTTTAAAAAAAAATCTAAGTAGTCATTTAATCATTTATTTTTACTCATTTCAGGAAGTAGAATTAACTCATGTATGTAAAACACATCCTACAAAAGACAAACTGCAAACTGAGAAGTAGAGCTCAATTTTTATGTGACTTTCGTTTGGGGCACTGAGTTAAATATAGAAACAATTACAGTCTATTCAAAGAAGTCAGTCATATATCCTTGGCTCCAAGTAATTATCTAACACATTCTGACATTTATGACCTGCTACTAATTTGTGTTTGTGCACATACAGAACCACATGCATCTGTGCCTTGGAAACCTCATGACTTATTTCCTGCACGATGGCGAAATGTTACTGCAATTTATTTTTATTTTGTTGTCAGAATACTCAGCAAGAGTGTTTATTACAGGCATTGCTATTGTCCTGTGTGGTTTATTACATTTTAGGTGCATAGATGAAGCTCTGTATGCCTTCTCTAGCACTTTATATAACACCAGCACTATGACACACACCATGACTCTTACATTTTTCTAACACCTAGAGTATGTATTTTAAAGTAACATTTAGAGATTTAGAGTCTTCGGGATAAATTATGGAAATTGTATAACCTTTATATTATAATACTAGTAAAGAATATGTATAAACAGTTTAAAATAAACCATGCTGTATATTTTCAAATCTACATTTTAAACTTTGGCGTACAGAATCAAAAACCACAGCAAATGTTTCAAGACATCACTCACTGGGTACTGAATTTGGGATTTTCCCTTTAAAGGGGGAAAATCTCACTTCCAATGCCATGTTTTTACTCTTGGACTCTTGATTGATTGATTGATTGATTGATTGATTGATTGATTCCAACCATTACTAATGATTCTCAGCAGAGCTGAGCAGAAGCAGCTTAAGACTCAATCTCCTAGAATTGAGATTGTGGGACACTGTGGGGGAACCACCAAATTCAGGGGGTGCATTGCATTAACTTTTTAGGAATTACAGTCATTGATATCTAAAGTCCCCCATTTTCAAAGGATCAAAGGTAACTGGACAGGTCCCTAACAAGCAATTTTCTGCTCCCTTGTTTCATGACAAATAAAGCAGCTGGAAACATTTGGTATTAATTCAAGTGCTTTTGACAGTTAATCTCAATAAGAGGTCCAAAGAAATGTTGATGCAACTGAAGGAGTTAAAAAAAACATTCACAAAAACACTTGACTTGGTTAGATTTGGTAACCATGTCATTGTAACAAGTCTATGATCAAGAGAGCTGTTCATGGAAAATAAAGTGCAAACCACTAGGTACACTCAAGAACAATGCCATTAAACATATAAAGAACCTGCAAAGTTGAGTAAGTGTTGTAAATGTTGACAAATTATACCACAATGACAAGAAGAGAAAAATATGGAGAGAAATACCTAATGATTATTAAAGACATAATTCTGAAGTGCACAGGGTGGTATTCTGTTCATATTCAGCCAAATACTGCAAGACTGATTAGTCAGCACTTCACGGTGCAAATATATCATGACCCAAGGGATAAGGCAAAAGCAACCGGTGAGCCATGGCAAAGAAATGGGATATTCTTCAATTGCCTATTTATCTGATCCCAACCATTGACTGTAGTCAATGATCCCAACCTAATATAGCATTTTTTAAGTAATTA